ACACCAGAGGACTCACACAGGAGAGAAACCATATGAGTGTCCAGAATGTGGGAAAGATTTCAGTACTAGATCTAATCTTATAAAACATGTACTTATACATACTGGTGAGGAACCATGTGAGTGTTCCGAGTGTGGATGTTGCTTTAGGAGACATTCCACCCTTATTGCACACAAGAAAACGCACACAAGGCCCCAAGTGATTAGTGTAGAGAAGGTTTGAATTTCATTTCTAATGTTCCATTGCAAGTCCAGCTGAGAAATTTACTATTTAATTTGACTACAAAGAATTTGCCTAAGTTTTTGTAGAAGAACATGTAATGGTATTAGATGGGAAAGAGGAAAGAAAAAATTTCAACATAATAATTTTATAATGCCTATCTGGCTATCAGCAGCAGAAGTTGCTGGATACGATTAATCCTCGGGTTACAAATGCAATGCAGCCTGCCCATTCCATCCATAAATTAAGAATGCATGGGAGTGAATCTCATAGATTGAATGACATCACTCCCTGCTTCCTCTCTTGCATTTGTGCTTTCTCGCCCCACATCAGCCTGACAAGGCCTCCGATACCAGGAAAGCAACCCCAAGAAGCTGTACATGGCCTCTCGAGGCTACTTTCTTATTGGCAAAGCGCTTGAGGATTGCATTCCTGTAGGCTTTGGCAGCCCTTTGCAAAAAGCCTTTTTTTTTTTTTTGCATCAACTCCTCCTAATCTCTGCTGGTGCCAACAAAAGCTTTTTGCAAAGGGCTGGTGAAGCCTACAGGAACACAATCTGCAGTCTTCGGCAAGGAATCAGCAAACGGAGGGAAGGACTGAAGGACCGAAGTTTCCCTCCATTTGCAAACGTTCAGGTCTCAATTTACAGAGAATAGAAGCCTAAAGTGTGAGATTACACAAGATGTCGCGCTACTGATCTTGCATGATCTCACAGTATGTTAGGCCTCTGTTCTCTGCAAATGCAGGCAAAGAAACCGCAACAGAGAGATCTTTGGGAAGTAAGTGACTCTCCACAGGCGAAATGCCTGTGAAGAGCTGGCCGGGGGGGGGGGGGGGGATAGGGGGGGTGAATGTTGCAGAGCCTCTGCTTATTATTCGTAAGAGTGGACAGGATTTCCACATTTATTGCAGCTGTGGTGCTGCAATATTCATAATTTCGGGATTTATTTGTAAACTCTAGGGGGCGCTTATCACATAACTTTGAACATTCGCTAAGAGAATGCTCTTAAGCTGGGAATTACCTGTATTTATTTTTGAAGAAATTGTAAAAAGCTTTTTTGGAGTGTTTGTTGCATTTTTACCATGGTGGATCCCAGCCTTTTTCTCCCTAGGTGCCCCCAAAATTTCAGCCCCAGAATTCACCAGCCAGCATCTCTTGGGGATAGGAGCACTAAACAGATTGAGGCTCCTCATATAAGGAGAAAATGAGAGGAGAAGAGAAGCAGAAAGGTTTAAAAGTTCATCTTTTCCAAACAGTTCCAGGAATTCAGAAAACCAAGCATGTCTGTTCAGATTGTGTCAAGACTGAGGCACGCAAGTGGAAGAAACTATATGAATAGCAAATATATTGGAAGAGTTTGAGGCAGTGACAAAACCAGCATAACATTTTAGATGTAAAGGCTGTCCTGCCTGCAGGTGGCCTTCATGGAGAAGAGCTACAGGAATATTGAGTTGAGGAGAAAAGGGATTATGGTTTTGAGTACAGGATTTCCAGATTTATTTGCAACTCCTGCTGTTATCTCCTTTGCTTGGAGTTGCCTCCTTATTAGCCTTTGAGAGCTGGGGCCCGAGAGCATCATCAATATACTGATAATTGTGTGGTCCGTCCCCCCCCGGTGTGGAGATGTGAGGGAAATAATTGTATAATAGATAATGTTTAGTTTCTAAAACAGCATTGCCTAAGAATCTTGAATAGCTTTTGAGAAAGACAAATAAAGGAAAGTGTCAGGATTTCTGTAAGCAGAACATGTTTCCTGTGCTTGTCCCTCAGGGCTCCTTAATATTTTTTTCAAAAATTTATTCTTCAAATATAGGGAGGAATGGGGTGGGCAGAGCTGGAGTCGCAGCAGAAAGATGGGGATTCGGGAACTCCCAAAAGAACCGTTGATATCCCTGCTACTGGACAGTCCTTTTGGACCTAAACTATCCCAGAGAGACGGTGACAGAAGAGGGCACATCCTGTCGATCCCAAGGACATTGCAAAGTCCCTGGTTAATCCAGGAAAAACTCCCCGAACCGGCGGCTGAGGAAAGCAGCCATTAAAGCTGTTGGAAAGCTGGGACAGCTCTGGAATGAAAGGGAAAGCAGAAGGAAAGTATGTCCGAATTGGGTGAGATTTGTAAAAAATTTTTTTTGTTAAAGATTAAAGAGCACCCTAAGGGAAAAAGAAATTTTAAGATTGAAGACAGAAGAGAATGCAGCGGGAAAGCATGTTTATAACTGTCAGATTCAAGTAGGGCTATTTTATAACGTGTTTTAACAGAAAGATCAATTTTTTCTCTTTAACTGGACTGGACTAATAATTTGGAAAAGACAAAACCCTAATTTTAATTTTAAATCCTGGACTATTTTTCCCTTTTTAGTTTGCCTATTTAGTAACTGTAACTTTAAAAGTGAATCTTTTTCTTTTTTCTTTTTAAATTTCCGCTGGATACAATATAACAAAGGAGTGAAAGTAAAGCAAAGCAATAGTACCACCTAGAGGCTATAGAATCTTTTTTAATAAATCTAAGAATTGTTTTTCTGGACAGTACGCTGACTCAAAAGGAAGATAAAAAGCAAAGCGCTGAAGGATTGTTGAAACAGGTGTTGTGCTGACAATCTAAACAGATGGGGATAGAAGAGAAAGACTACTGTGACCTTGGATATGTTACGATTTGGTTTTCTGGATACAGTGGCTTGGAATTGCTTTGTGACTGCTATCTAAAATAATTGTTGGCTATTCCATTTTGTTTTATTTTTTTACTACTGGTATTTTTTCTGGGCCTTTTTTACTGTTTTAAATTTGTCTGCATCTGCTTGCCTCCTTTTTCTCTTTAGCTAGCTTTTTATTTGGAACGTACTAGTTTTTCCTATTTTTATTCTCTAGTACTGGATTACTACAAGCGGACTATTTTTGGAACTCTTTCCTTTTTGATTTTTTGTTTGTTTTTTATTTTTACCTCTGTGGATTTAACAGGTATTTTTATTTTTCATCGCTTTTTGTTTTTTCTTTTCTTTTTGATATGGAAAGATTGTTTTCCTTATAATTGGATTAAGGTAGAGAAGAACCTTAAAAAAGCAGAATTTGAATTTATTGGCAGATATCCTTTGTGTGGAATTATAATTGACTTGAGATGAGGAAGACAGCTGCAACAGGATCATCGATTACTACTTCCTCCTCCCTAAGCCCAGCTGGTCAGTGATCAATACTATGCTACAGCAGGAAAAGGGAAGGGAAAAAGAGAAGGAAGGAGAAAGAGAAAAAGAAAAAGAAAAGGAGTTTCCAATGAAGGAATTAAGAACAATGATGCAAGCAATACAAGTAATACGAAAACAAAGGAAGCGTGGAGAGGGCGGAGCTGCCGTCGTGATGATATGGCATGCGATCTCAGAGGTCTGAGATCGCAGCCGATATCTTTGCCCCTGGATGGTCTAAATGGATCTAAACCGTCCCAAAGAGATGGCGAAAGTGAAGAGCGCATCCTGTTGATCCCAGGGATACCGCAAAGTCCCTGGTAGATCCAGGAGAAGCTCTTCTTGCCAGCGGCAAAGAGGCAGCCATTAAAGCTGCTGAAGTTGGGACAGCTCCAAAACGGAAGAGAGCAGAAAGGGAAAGTGCCGGTTTGGTGAGAACTTTTTTATTCTAAGACTTGAAAGGACACCCTAAGGAAAAGAAAGAATCTAGAGGCTTGAAAATGCTTTATTTCCTGTGATCAGACGAAGCTGAGAAAGCTGAGAAAGAAAGAACTGAGACTCCTTTTCAAGGACATTGCTATGTGATAAGATAGAGGGAAAAGCACAGGAGAGTGTTATTGCAGGTGCTCTTCTGGATTTCTATCAACAGCTGGAGCCTGGTGTTGAAGCTTATGAAAAGAAAAGGTGCTAAGTCTTTGGAGAATAGAGTTATAATAAGAGCCTTGGATAAGTAAACAAAGTGCAGTATGCCCTTTTTATTTTTTTTAAGCTGTGCTACCCCTCCTTACCAGCTTTACTGTATTTTTTTTAATCTTTATTCTTGTAATAACTACTTGGGTTTTTGGCCTGGTTGGAATTTGTTTTGTCTTTTTTTTTGGAAGTCCAGTCTTCACGTTTGCTTTTTATTTTAAAGGGAAAGCCTTAAAAACCTTTTCTCCTTTTTTTTCCTGGCATTTTTTGTTTTTTTCACCCACCTTTTTGGTTCATTTTTATGCACTTTTTTCTATGTGAGACCTTTCAATTGGATTAAGGTGTTGAAGAACCTGAAGAATTTTTCTCCTTCTTTTGTTTTTTTTTTAAGTCTTTTTTTTTTACTTAACTACTGATTGGATTAAGGTTTACAAGAACCTGAAGAAACTTTGTCTCCCCCTTTTTTATTACTATTGGGCTTTTCTCTCTCTACCATTTTTATTTTTTGCCTTGGATTATAATTGGCTACTTCACAATTGGATTAAGGTTTAGAAGAACCTGAAGATTTTGAATCGTTTAAAATGAGTAGGAAATTTACAGTTCCTGGTTCCTCAACTTCTACTTCTGCCTCCCCACCATCTGGAGGACAACGTTCAATACAGACAATGTTAAAACAAGAAAAAGAACAAGAAAAAGTGACTCTGCAGATGATTATGCAAGGAATCCAAGATATTAAAGCAAGATCAGAGACTATTGAAAAGAGAATAGAGAACATCGAACAAAGAATAGAGAATATTGAACAAAGAACAGAGAGCATTGAACAAAGAACAGGGAAAAACGATGAAAAAGTGGAGAACATTCAACAAATGATGTCGAAGTATGATGAGAGATTCCAAAAAATTGAAGAAGATAAAGAGACAAGAAGATTGGAGACATTGATAACAGATTAACTGTGGTTGAACAAGATAAAAGTGGTATGCTGAGATGGGAGATGGACAGATCAGAATTTTATCTTAGATTTCAAAACATAGAGGAAGAAAAAGGACAAAATCTAGCTGAGATAATGATAGAAATATTGGCTGAAGCTTTGGAAATAACTGAAGAGAAGATGACAGATGGAATAGATGAGGTATATTGAGTTTTTACAAGATATGCGATGAGAAATAGCCTACCAAGAGAAGTTCATATTAGATTTACAAAGAAAGCCATTAAAACACAAATATTGCAAGTGGCAAGAGAGAAAATGTTGAAATACAAAGGCAAGGAGATTGTGGTCTTAAAACAAATACCCAGAAGAGTGAGAGAGATGAGAAGAGAATATCGATTCCTGACTAAAATGCTACTGAAAAAAGAGGTGAATTATAGATGGCTGATCCCAGAAGAGTTAATGTTCACATGGCAAGAACAGAGACACAGAATTGACTCAATTGAGAAAGCGGAATTATTTTATACAGAATTTTTTGGAAGGAAAGAGGAAGAGGCACTAATTGAATTCCAAGAGGACTGTCAAATGGGGACTGAAAAAGAAGGTGCAGCAGGTGAAAAGGTGGAAACCAAAGAACAACGTGAACCAAGATCTACGAGAGCTGCTAAACCCAACTATAAAATATAACCATGGAAGAGAAAAAATTGATTACAATTAATATAAATGGACTTAATTCAGCTGTTAAAAGAAGGAAAACTTTTCATAAATTAGAGAAATTAAAATTTGATATAATTTGTCTACAAGAAGGACATATTAAAAAACAATATGAACAATTGTTGGTACAGCCAAAATTAGGGAAAATATTTACTTCCTTGACCCAATGTAAGAAAAGAGGAGTGGTTTTATATATTAAAGAAAAACGAAGCGTGTTGAAGAGAAAATTGAAAACATATGACAGTTTACACATCCAGATCACAAAAAAAGTGAAATACCTGGGGATACAATTGACAGTGAGATGTGGAACACTTAAGGAAGACAATTACTATAAATTAAAACAACAGATTGCGACAGATTTGGAAAAGTGGAAAAACCTACAACTATCCTTGACAGGGAGAATATGGTTATTTACTAGGAGTGAAATTAGAAGAAGAGCAAGTTAAAGAAACGATGATTGCTTGGGGG